AGGACAGATATAGTCTCATTCCCTCAAGACCACGATTCACCCTCTAGCAAGATCACTATCCATTGTCTAGTAAGTCCACGATTCGCTCTCTAGCAAGATCACGATCCACTGTCTAGTAAGACCACGATCCACTCTCTAGCAAGACCACGATCCATTCTCTAGCAAGATCACTATCCACTCTCTAGCAAGACCACGATCCACTCTCTAGCAAGATCACTATCCACTCTCTAGCAAGATCACTATCCATTGTCTAGTAAGTCCACGATTCGCTCTGTAGCAAGATTATGATCCACTCTCTAGCAAGATCACTATCCATTGTCTAGTAAGTTTTACATATTTATAAGTAACTACTTATATTTATTCAACTACTTCACTAAAGTTTACTGTCTTTTAATGGTGTGAATTCTTAAGCTCACTTCAAGTATTTTCATATGTATCAGTTTATAACAAAGTATGACTGTGTTTCAGCTCTACACACTTGTCGTTTTCGCTGTGACATTTCTCCTACCCATGCTTGTTTTAACTTATGCCTATGCTGCATTAGGCTTGAAAATGTGGAAGCATAGTGCTCCGGGCAATGCCCACGACATACGAGACAGTCAGCAACATCAGTCTAAAACAAAGGTAAGACATATAAACTGTCTGTTTTAATAAACATGGATATGGTTGTAATACTTTACGTTACTTTAACAGCGTCACAGAATTTGTATGGCATATGTATCTTTGTGGGACCCGAGTGCATATTCAATTCACGTGCTATATTGTTTATTAAATTCTATTGCGAATAAACACTACCAGATGAAATATTTCAAAAGTTTTTAATTAATTTCTCGAGAGTACGTAACTTCTCAAATAAATATCATATTTCATACTTGTATGTATTCATATCTTTGTAATTTCGAAAATATTTGATTCTTATACGTTTTTTAAGAAACAATTAATTGCTTATTTGTTTATTTTGACTTTCGCGCAAAGCTACACGAAGGCTATCTCTGATAGCCGTCCCTAATTTAGCATAGAAAGACTAGAAGGAAGGCAGCTAGTCATCACTACCCGCCGCCAACTCTTTGGATACTTATTTACCAACGAATAGTGGGATTGACCGTCACGTAATAACGCCCCCAAGGCTGAAAGGGCGAGTGTGATTGGTGGGACGGGCAACTGAAGCCGTAACCCTCAGATTGCGAGTCAAGTGCCCTAACCACCTGGCCAGAAACAATTTAAAATGTTTATCTTTATTGTATAATTTAATTATCGATCTTCATTCTCTTACAATTTTCATATAAAGTATCTATTTTATAAAACCATAAACTGTATATTTGTTTTGAATTTCGAAAAACAAATCATGCAGTTTGAAAGTTTGAAAGAATTTAAAATAACTGGAGTACAATAAAAATATTTTTTTGCAATACCAAGTTTATAATATATTGTTTTGTTGATGATAAGCGCAAAGCTACACCTATCTGTATTCTGCCCACCATAGGTATCGAAACCAAATTTTTAGTGGTATAAACCCTCAGACATACATCCAAACCACAGGTGAGAAGCAAATTATAAATTACAAGGAAAACGACATTTTTTCTATCTGTTAACCAAAGGTTGTATTTAATACATGTAATAAGATTAAATTAGTTTTATTTTCATTTATAAATCTGTTTTCAGATTTCTTTTTCTTTTCAGAGTTTTTTTTTTGTCCATTAAAGCAGTTTAACTCAGTGGCCTTGTCGACGAAACGAAACTCGATATGGTCGAGTGCAGAATAATTTAACTAAGCTTACTTTATCACTAAGCCTACCTTATCCTGTTCTACAAAAACATTTATTTTCTTATCATACTTAGAGCCTAGCCTGGCCTGGCGGTTAGGATACTCAATTCGCAATTTGACGGTTGCGGGTTCGAATCCCTATCACTAAACACGCTTACCCTTTCAGCCGTGGGGCATTATAACGTAAAAGTCAATTCCACTATTGGTTGTTTAAAGTGTAGCCCAGGAACTGACGGTGGGTTGTGTTGATTAGCTGCCTTACCTCTAGTATGTCACTATTAAATTAGGAACGGCTGGTACAGATAGTCTTGCGCGAAATTAGCTTTAAAAAATTATTCTTCTTCAACCTCATAATTCTAATGAAGTATAAAAAATGATAAATCTCGCTTTTCACAAACATTCAACAAAAATCAGAACTGTGTTGTTCACAGTGAACTTTTATTTTAGCAACGTATCACAAGATTAAGCGCTTATCACTTCCTTCCGACTCCTACAGAAATCGCCACTGAGCTTGAAGCGTTGTTGCTTTAACAGTTCCAACGAGCAGAAAATGAATTCTAATGACGAGTTTAGATAAGTAGCCTATGGCTTCTTTGAGCAAGGACATCATACCATGACAACCGAGGAATAGAAAAAGCGATTGGCTGGGAATCAATAAATCTACACTTGTGTTCACGTTAGAAGGACACAATAATGCTACTTTGTTCAAAATCATTCCTCCTATGAGACTACGATTATCAAATTATGCTCAGAAAAAATTCATTAAATTCTTGAACACCAGTGACTTTGCCTGGAACATGCTAAAATCAAATCAAAATTTTCAATTAAACTATTTAGATATATAACTAAATAAATAAAACTTTTTTACTCAATAAGTTTCAGCTGTGAATTATATTATTTTTATAATTGTGTAAAAATGACTACAAGTTAATTTTCTATAATTTTATTATTTAGCAGGAGTCAACTATAATGAGTCATATCAACTAGTTTCTGAATTTATTAATGTTACAAAACAATATTATAGGAAATATAAAACAAGAGTCAACAATAATGAGTCATATCAACTAGATTCTGAATTTATTAATGTTACAAAACAATATTATAGGAAATATAAAACAAGAGTCAACAATAATGAGTCATATCAATTAGATTCTGAATTTATTAATGGTGCAGAACAATATTATAGGAAATATAAAACAGGAGTCAACAATAATGAGTCATATCAACTAAATTCTGAACTTATTAATGGTACAGAACAATATTATAGGATATATAAAACAAAACTAGAATTTTGTATTTGAGTCTTATGCTTCAGGTAGATCAGGTTACCTTCTTTTCATGATGTCATAGTATGTTTTATTTGAGTTCTCTGCTTCAAGTAGATCGGGTTACCTTCTTTTCATGATGTCATAGAGTTTTTTATTTGAGTTCTCTGCTTCAGGTAGATCAGGTTATCTTCTTTTCATGATGTCATAGTATTTTTTATTTGAGTCCACTACTTCAGATAGATCAAATTCCCTTCGTTTCATGATGTCATAGTATGTTTTATTTGAGTTCCCTGCTTCAGGTAGATCAGGTTATGTTCTTTTCATGATGTCACATCAAGGTAGGATTTTGGAATTTTATACCAAATATCCTGTGTTACTCTTCACAATTCATCAAAGTTTTTGTCACCTTTGACCTTCTCAGATTTTACATAAGACCCGACTGTGTCAAGAATGTTCATATTGGGGATATGTGCAGACCAAACTCTTATTGTGAATGTTTCATAGGTCCCTTCACTGTCAATATATACCTTCATCATATTTGCTGCGCGCTTGCGATCGTGGTCTTGCTAGAGAGTGGATAGTGATATTGCTAGAGAGTGGATCGTCGTCTTCCTAGAGAGCGGATCGTGGTTTTGCTAGAGAGGGGATCGTGGGATTACTAGACAGTGGATCGTGATCTTGCTAGAGAATGGATAGCGGTCGTGCTGTAGAGTGGATCGTGGTCTTGCTAGAGAGTGGATCGTGATCTTGCTAGAGAGTGGATCGTGGTCTTACTAGAGATTGGATAGTGATCTTGCTAGAGAGTGGATCGTGGTCTTGCTAGAGAGTGGATCGTGGTCTTACTAGACAGTGGATAGTGATCTTGCTAGAGAGCGGATCGTGGTCTTGCTAGAGAGTGGATCGTGGTCTTGCTAGAGAGTGGATCGTGGTCTTACTAGACAGTGGATAGTGATCTTGCTAGAGAGTGGATCGTAGTCTTGCTAGAGAGTGGATCGTGGTCTTACTAGACAGTGGATAGTGATCTTGCTAGAGAATGGATAGCGGTCGTGCTATAGAGTGGATCGTGGTCTTGCTAGAGAGTGGATCGTGATCTTGCTAGAGAGTGGATTGTGGTCTTACTAGAGATTGGATAGTGATCTTGCTAGAGAGTGGATCGTGGTCTTGCTAAAGAGTGGATCGTGGTCTTACTAGACAGTGGATAGTGATCTTGCTAGAGAGCGGATCGTGGTCTTACTAGACAGTGGATAGTGATCTTGCTAGAGAGTGGATCGTAGTCTTGCTAGAGAGTGGATCGTGGTCTTACTAGACAGTGGATAGTGATCTTGCTAGAGAGTGGATCGTGGTCATTCTAGAGAGTGGATAGTGATCTTGCTAGAGAATGGATCGTGGTCTTGCTAGAGAGTGGATCGTGGTCTTACTAGACAATGGATAATGATCTTGCTAGAGGGTGAATCGTGGTCTTGCTAGAGAGTGGATCGTGGTTTATTCAACCACTTCACTAGTATTGTTGTTTTAGATATTTATAAGTAGCTAATCATAGTTATTCAACCACTTCACTAGTATTGTTGATGAATCACATTGTTCCAATATCATTAATGGTATTCCTAATTCATGAATCACATTGTTCCAATATCATTAATGGTATTCCTAATTCATGAATTACATTGTACCAATATCATTAATGGTATTCCTAATTCATGAATCACATTGTACCAATATCATTAATGGTATTCCTAAAACATGAATCACATTGTACCAATATCATATTCCCAATTCTTGAATCGCATTGTTCCAATATTATCAATTATATTCTCAATTCTTGAATCACATTGTTCCAATATTATTAATGGTATTCCTAATTCATGAATCACATTGTTCCAATACATTTTTCACTCATGATATATGAAGTGTGTTATTATTGACACGTTTTTTTAAAGTGAAAGGTAGATCTCTGATTTTTCACACAGGTATTACGCCATAATGTATCCTCTTGGCTTGCAGTGGACTAAGTCCAAGGGAACAGCCATCATAGCCGTCATTTGGACAGTAGCTTGTGGTGTGTCTAGTGTCCAGTTGATTCACGGACGGGCAGAAGTGTTCTTTTTACAAGGCCAGATGTTTTACGACTGCAATGAAGTTATGGGTGAATTCGATAGTAAGGTGTGACTTTTAGTAGTTCATTAACTTTTAATTTAGTAATTTTCTCAGGCTACGTAATTTCTTTTCCCACTTTTAAAGACGGAGACTAGGACAAATATTATCAACATTCTGACTATGGCTAAATATAATAATCCACACTACAGTGAATTTACCAACCTAGGCGGTATCCTTCAACTTGCCATCAAAACATTATATCACCATACACGATTTGATCCACTCGCTTCAGTTGGCATCAAAGGCAATCAATGAAATGTAAATCATTCCATCAGATTCACAAAAACCTGATTTACGGTATTTGGAAATGTCCATATACTCTCTGAAGGCTGTATGATTCTGTTCTTTAACATCTACTCTATATTGATACTTCCCATGTCCCTAGCGCTTGAATGAAGCCTTTGCATTGTTTGTGTATATGTGGGAGCGTTTAATCCATTCAGTTGGCTGACCAATAAATACATTGGAAACTAAACCAACAAACCATCGATCATTTGATGCTTTCTTGCATCAAGGCTACTTGTACAATCTTGAACCATCAGCATTGGAAGTCGTGCATTTGTGTTACCATCAAATTATGCTACCTCCATTTTGTTTGCCATCTCGATGACATATCCAGCAAGAATCTGGATAGGCAATTACCGATAATTATAGAACCTCATCCGCTTTTGGGCAGATCAATGTCCGAACTAATGCCGCCTGCTTTCTGGATAAGAAAGCATTCATTTCAGGCATTCTGTCATCTCACTAGATCTCGTCTGTAATAAAACTTGCTGAAGTTCCAGGCTAAGAAAATATGTTGTGAAACCAACAATGCCAGTTCTCTTTAAGATGGAATCTCCACACACATGACTCACCAGTAGAAAAAAACAGTCACTCACTACCTGTACAGTAATTGTTAGGTTATATCAATCTTTGTTAAAAGAAAGCACGTGTGATTTCTTGTTGACTGACACATTTCCATGATTAACTAGTTTGAAAAGAACTTAGTGACTCCATTCATCGCCTTTCTGTATTGAAACCTAAACTTGAAACATACAGAATATTTTACAAATTTATAAAATAACAAAGGGATGAAACAAATGGTTTTTAAAATGGAATCAGTGTGCCTAACTATGCTTTAAATTATGACTGTTGTCAATGTCGTTTCTTGGTATTTAATACAGTGTTTATTCGATATTTATTACCAGTGTTAAGTTGGTATTTAGTATCAGTGTTAAGTCGGAATTCACTACGAGCGTTAAATCTGAATGTAAGCAATATTTATCCTTAACTGAATCCCACTGTTGTTGTTGAAGATATTTATAAGTAGCTAATCATAGTTATTCAACCACTTAACTGATATTTGTTGTTGTAGATATTTATAAGTAGCTACTTATAGTTATTCAACCACTTCACTAGTATTGTTGTTTTAGATATTTATGAGTAGCTACTTATAGTTATTCAACCACTTCACTAGTATTGTTGTTTTAGATATTTATGAGTTGCTAATCATAGTTATTCAACCACTTCACTAGTATTGTTGTTTTAGATATTTATGAGTTGCTAATCATAGAATATTATTAATGATATTCCTAATTCTTGAATCACATTGTTCCAATATTATTAATGATATTCCTAATTCGGGAACAATGCGATTCAAGAATTGGGAATATCATTAATAATATTGGAACAATATGATTCAAGAATTAGGAATATCATTAATAATATTGGAACAATGTGATTCAAGAATTAGTAATATCGTTAACAATACACTTCATATATCATCAGTAGAAGACTTGTTTCAACAATTGATATTGTAGGTATTTCTTATATTATGATTTTAAAATATTTACTCAATGATTAATAAATGTAAAGTCAACATACGTTTAAAGTATCGATAAATCTATCATTTACTTTACAAAGTTTGTCCCTCTCTGTGGTGGTTCACCAGTAAGCCTGATGACTCATAACGCTAAAAACCGAGCTTGGATAACCCGTTGTGAGCACATCACAGATAGCTCGTTGTGTAGCTTTGTGGTTTTAAAGGTTAGTGACGTTAGGCTTACTGAAACTTATCACCAGTCTTAATGTTAAACCAAAACAAAGCTGTACGTGTACTAGTAAGCTGCCCTATAGATTTTTACTTTATAAATACACAAATGTCGTTAACAATATACTTCATATATAATCAGTGAAAAATAATGTGAGTTACAACAACTAAGACCAATCAATTTTTGTGAAAACTGTCAATAGACCAATCACAAACCTGCTTTCATGTATTCTTAAAAGTTCTATTTCCTCTCAAAACTTCGAGGTGCGAGTACTTTACATCTATAGTTCAAAGCTCTTCAAAATCAATAAAATAAGAAGCAAAACCTATATTTTATTGGTACAAAAACGTTCTTAGATGATGGTAACGTTCCACAAAAGTAAAAAATGGTATGCTGTAAATCCCAAACTATAAGGCTCGAATATAGTGATCCATTTACTACCTTATCCCATCATTACCTGTTTATTAACAAATGATAAATCTATAACTATAAAAGAGCGTATCTCTGTGTAATCGCCATAACTCCAAGAGGAAAGAACCTAGAAACCTGAAATTTTGCCCACATGCTAAGTGGACCCTGAGGGTGTGCACCTGGGTGTTATTACTTATTCGGGTGCGTGCGCGTGCGCATCTTTTTATGCCAAAAAACACATAGAAAAGAAATGTACTTGTGCATGCGCGCATGCGCATCTTTTAAAAGAGGCAAGCTAGCGAAAAACCACATATAAAATAAGTGGTTCCTTATATTACAACTTCTAATATATAGAAAAAGCCAGTACGTTTTGTTAACAATGCGTTTCAGCGATGGCTTTCATGTCATGTTGCTTAGCAATAGTATTATAACCTAATGTTGTTGTTAAGAGGCTATGTGCTAAAAGTATAAAATGAAATGTATAAACTACGAAATTCGAAAAATATACTTGTTGTTTTCTAATTTCGAGGCTCCATTAATTAAAGAGGTTTGTTTTTATTATTTAAGTTTACAAGTCAGAAAGAAGGTTACCTTTATAAACAGGCCACACCCCATAAAGGACCAACAAAAGTATATAAGTTATACTTTTTATACTAAAATGGGTTCAGAATACACATACTGACATAGTCATCTAGAATATATCAACCTAATAACCCGAGCGAAGCCGCGTACTTTCGCCAGTATTAAAATAAACAAACAGAAATTATAACTAACTACATAATGTGAACAGACATTATGCTCACCAGTAGAAGGATATGACTTTTTAACTGCTACGAAACAATTCCAAAAATGTTGTTAGGGAGGGATGTTTTCCATAAACCATGTTCAGTTCTTTATGTACTAGTTTATCTGTAAAGAAAACCTTTAAGAATAAAGGGGGTTTTGAATTCAAGAGTCTTGCTCAGTGGTAACTCTAAATATACTAGTTTTACTCTGTAAAGAAGACCTTTCGGAATAAAGGGGTTTTGAATTCAAGAGTCTTGCTCAGTGGTAACTCTATATATACTAGTTTTACTCTGTAAAGAAGACCTTTCGGAATAAAGGGGGTTTTGAATTCAAGGGTCTTGCTCAGTGGTAACTCTATATATACTAGTTTTACTCTGTAAAGAAGACCTTTCGGAATAAAGGGGTTTTGAATTCAAGAGTTTTGTCCATAATAACTAAAATATCGTATAGCCTGAAGGTAAGGGGTAAAATTTTGTACAGCCTGAAGGGTTAAATACCTTATAGCCCGTAAGTAAGGAGTTAATTACTATATAACCCAGTCAGCAATTAGAATAAAAACGAAATAGAAGTTTGCTCAATACGGTTAAATTGGGTACTTTTAGGGATTATTTCAGTATGCTATGATTTTCTTACACATTCATTTGGATAGGTGTGTAATACAATAGTGGGTACTTTTAGGGATTGTTTCAGTATGCTATGATTTTCTTCTTATCTTTATTTGGATGAGTGTGTAAACAATATGATTAAACTGGATACTCTTAGGGGCTGTTTCAGTATGTTATTATTTTCTTACACATTTATTTAGATATGTGTGTAATACAATAGTGGGTACTTTTAGGGGTTGTTTCAGTATGCTATTATTCTCTTACACATTGATTTGGATAGGTCTGTAATACAATAGTGGGTACTTTTAGGGGCTATTTCAGTAAGCTATTATTTTCTTACACATTTACTTGGATAGATGTGTAAGACAATAGTGGGTACTTTTAGGGGCTGTTTCAGTATGTTATTATTTTCTTACACATTTATTTGGATAGGTGTGTAAGACAATAGTGGGTACTTTTAGGGGCTGTTTCAGTATGTTATTATTTTCTTACACATTTATTTGGATAGGTGTGTAATACAATAGTGAGTACTTTTAGGGGCTGTTTCAGTAGGCTATTATTTTCTTACACATTTATTTGGATAGGTGTGTAAGACAATAGTGGGTACTTTTAGGGGCTGTTTCAGTATGTTATTATTTTTACTTGCTATCTTTTTTTTTGATGAGTTTGTAAAACCTGGGTGTTCGTACTAAACTATTTTCGCTACTGTAATGTATTAGCCTAGTAGTCAGTGTGTGTGTATATAGCTTTGAGTAGATATTCAAAACCAACCAATCAAGAATCTCGTGATGTATTATCTCAGCCTACCTGCTGAGCACTTGTAACTAGCGTCAGGTACAGTCTTGGTCAAAATAATTGAATATTTTGTAATAAGATCATTATGACTAAGATGCTACAAATACACTAAGCGCTGTCAAACTGAGAAACAGATGTTATAATAAACATCTACATATGTAATTTGTATGATGAGACAGGTTCTATGGACATCACGAACGATTTATTAGAACAGCAAACAA